TAGTAAATAGCAATTGGCTTTTGCATAGAGGTACAGAATTAATTCCTTGTGCATAATATTTAACCACTGTTGTCCTGTAGCTTCTCTGCAAGAAACCTTTTTGGAAAAGCAGGCATTGCTCTAAAGCAGGGTGACCTTGCTCATGTCAGAAATGCTCCTCAGAGCTCTTTGTCTTTCAGCACATGCCATCAGCTTGAGGACAGCAGTAGATTTCCATTATGGTTTTTAAGTTTCAAGATGAATTTAATTGCAGTATTTTTTTACTACTCTGTCATTTATTTTGCACTACATATGGGATGAAGTAGAGACACTGATATCTGCTGGGATTGGAGCATGTGGATTGGGGTAGGCCCATGGACTTAATTTCTGCATGAGGTCTTGCCAGTGGGTTTTTGTTTGGGCAAGGGGGGAAGAGGGAGGGCAGCAGGCAGGCTGGTGGTCGGTTTGGTTTTGTTTTTTAACATATGTGTATATATTTTGTAAATGGGTGACAAACTGATCTAGAGCTAGGTATATTCACAATGGACTCTTTTAAATAGAGGTAAGGATATGACCCAGACCAACAGAAGACAGGTGGCTCTGACAGTACTTGAATGAATGTTGTCACTCAAAGGGATGAGATTATCCTTCACTTGAAATTACTTGGGCAGGCTCTGGCACTGGGACAGCAAATCCTTAAAACCAGCATTGTTGTTGGAATTGCACCATCAGAAATGCCAGGCCCTCTGTGTTAGGGTGAGCTCCTTCCAGAGGGTCCCTGGCACTGTGGGGGCACCCCTGTCTTCTCTTGATTTGAGCTTTTAGCAGTGAATTTGTTAATTCTGACCACTTAGTATTTACCCTGGTATCACATGTTTATGCACTGAAGGTTAAATATGTATTTTGATACTTGTTTGTTTATTATGTATGTGCTGGTCTGTAAAATGAGATATATTCCTGTTTTGGTATGTATACTAGGTCCCCAAATGAACAGAAAGGCTTCTCTAGAGCCCTTGCACACTGTTGAGTAAATGCAGGTTTGTTGAGCTTAGCTGACCCAAATTTTGGATCCAAAGAGTGATGGTCAAGTAGCTACACTGACTACTGGCTACCTGGCAGATTTGACCCTAAAAACAGGAAGAGGTCCTTAGTAAACATGTGCAGAGCACTGGAATTTCTGTGTTCAGCTGTTCTCTCTAATGTTGCCTTCACCCTTCCCAAAATGATGCAAAACCAGCATAGTTCAGAAGACAGGCTAGTGGCCTTAACGTTTTCTGTTTGAAGAAAAGGCTGTTTTAACAACTCTTAAATGCCTTTGAGTCCACAGTTTTCTTCCCCTTGCCTCCAGATTTCCAAATCACCCCCAAATTGAAGGAAGCCTTCTTTTCTGTGGACTGCAGCTTGTACAGCCACGTGGTTAAACCCTAATAAAAGCAAGGCTATGACAACAACAGGGATGTGATTCAGCGCTGAAGCCAGGACAGAGTCCTGCTGTGGGGTCCTGAGGACGGGGCTGTCGGCCACAGACGCGTTGTACAGGTGCTGCTCCGTGCCTGTGGCGTTCGCAGCGCACTAAAGAAACCCCCATTCCTTACAATCCTGCAGGGTGCAGGCTGGGCCCAGTTTAAGTTTTGCAAGCAAACCACCACAGCCCTCTGACTTAATTCTGTTCCCAAAAACTACGTGTTTGCTTGTTGGAGGCAGAGGGGGACAAACACACCTGCTTGTATTTCCTCTGGCAGCTGGTGCTGTGGGCAGCTGTGGTGTTCACGTGGGAGTGGGGTTTATTTCCATTTCATTCGAGCTTCTAATGCAAATACTTGCTTTGTTTTCCATGTAAAAATCTGTTGAGCAAAAATATACTCATGTACACTAACATTAGTAGACTGTATTCTCTGCAAGTACCTCACATGTCTTCTCCTGCCTTGTTCTTTGTAGTAAACTTATCCATGTACTCCTAACATTCGTATGTAGTGTGCAACTGTAATGTCATGCTTTGGAGGGGGGGTTGGCTGCCTCCAGCCAACATTCATCAGTTCAATAGCAAAACACTTTAGATAAGTTATTTTGCACTTTCTTATGTATAAAATTGGTAGAAACTTATATTTGCTTTGTATCATTTAAAGACTCCTTTTGTTTCGGTAAATGAACTGTGTATAAAATACTTATGCAGTTAAAACTGTTTTTAGAAAGTATTTTTAATTTCAGCAAGTTTGGTTACTTGTTGCATGACTATTAACACAGCTGACTTTTTGTGTCAGTGCAATGTATATTTTTTTTGTCCTGTTATTAACTTGTAAGCCCTAGTTAAATGGCCATTTATTTGTACAGCATCAGGAGTAAATTGAAGATAACTGGCTAAGACTGGAGTGTGGAATTTTGTACTATATTGCAGAATCCAATATCTGTTTTTTGGTGGTTACGTAAAAGGCCTGACGATTTACTATCTAGTGTGCAATCTGTGATATCTGAATGTTCATTGTATATTTGTCTCCAATGCAAAAAGGTAGAGTAACACAATTACAACAATACATGATTAAATGCAATAGTTCAGGTACTGAAGTATTTTTTTTTTTCATTTCAAATAAATACCTGCTATTTACCACCAAAAAGCTGTTTTGCATTTGTTGGAAAGACACTACATTTGCAGTTGAACAAATGTTTTTAACTCAGGACTGGTAACTAATGGGTGACGTCTTTCTGTGTCACCATGAGGAGTAAGTTTCTGTTGTTACAGTTTTGCTTTCTGAATGTGGGTGTGGCCATCCATGAGGGTGCTGCATGGAATCATGTGCCTTAATTTGTTCTTTTTTGCTTTAAATTGTAGAGTGGGAATTCAGCAGAATCTGACAGTGTGTAGAAGAATCCATGCACTTCAAGTATTTCACACTCAGCCATTTCCACATTTTAAATCTTTCCATGCACTGAAGCAAATGCTTCCTATTCAACAGTTTTGGGGGAGTTACTGTGCTCAGCAGCTGCAGACACTTGACAGCTGCAGCCTGACTGTCCTTCTGCTGCCAGGGAGCAGGTCATGGATGAATGCCACCAAAGCATTCTGAGCCAGGTAACCATGCCAACTGCGGTTTGTGAGGTCTGGCATTGCCTCCCACTCTATCTGGGGAGAGATTTTGTACCAACAGCAGCACCAGACTGCTCTGTCCAACTGGGTCATTTACTGTATGCAGTATTTCAGGCTCATTTCTCCAGGCAGGGTGGAGAGTGGAGGTGCCAGGAACAAGCATTGGGAAGTAGAGTCCACAATCCTGGTGGACCTTTTGATGGGATGGTGCAGTCCCAGCCCTGTAAAATCCCAGCAGGCATCATCTGGGCCAGCAGCCAATTTTTGCAGTGAAATGAGGCACTTGTTGAGTGACAGGGCAGCTCCTTGCAAGTGCCCCAGCCTTTGGCTCTGGCTCCACCACAGTTCCTGCCAGGTAGAAGCACCACCCAGGGCCAGACATGCCATTTAGTAGGTAAAACCAAATTTGTGACAAATTTGCTGTGACTAAATTGTCTTTCATGACAGGTGCAGTAAGTCAGTTCAGAAAAGTGAGGCTGAGCTGCTTTCCAGGCTTGGTGTTCTGTATAAAATGCATGAGTGTTTTTAAGGAATTCCTGACAGTGGGATACATCTGTCTCCATGTCAGGACACAGATCTGGTTCACCAGTGAGGTTACAGTGCCACACCGTGTAGGGAGGAGGGTGGGGTAAGCAAGCCAAGGAACAGGGCTGATGTTCTGGGAGCCAAATCCTGCCCTGTCTTCCTGGAGAAGAGTTGCACTGCATTGGATGTGAGCCTGGCCTCCCAAAAAAAGGGCAGTTTGTAAGGAATGGGACCAAACTTGGTCACGGATGAACCTTAGTGCCATTTTGCTTACACCAGAGGGCACCAGAGCCCCTGGTGCGGGAGCTGGGCAGGAGCCGAGACGAGCGCTGGGTGGGAGTGTTTCCACTCTAACACTGAGGGCGGGGAGATGTAGCAAGGCTCTGCCCAGCAGCAGTGATGGAAATCCTGTGCGAGTGAGGTGCGGAGAGTGGTGCTCACGCGAGCATCCAGGGAAGAGCTCCCAGCCCCTGCCAGGGGCAGCTTCTGAGAGCTTTAAGCTCTCCTTAGAGCTCTGCCTAGAGCAGCTTGAAGCTGAGGATGGAACCACTGTAGTTCCCTGGTGCTTGGCTGCTCTCTCCCGCAAAGCAGCAGCCCACAGGGATGCCCATTACAGGGTAAGTGCCCCAAATGCAGAGAAACCCAGGAGCCATTTCCCAACTCCTGTGAAAGGGCAGAGATGTCCAGCAGGTTTCCCAATGCCACCCAAGTTCTCCAAATTTACCTGTGTGAGCAGTGATTCAAGACCACCATGGGACACGTGCATTTATCCAAGAGCTGATCAGCTCCAAACTGAGCTGAGATGTGGATTGGCAGCAAAGGAGAACAGACAAGGACTCTGGTCCTAAGAAGAAGTCCTGGGGCTCAGCTGTAGGAAACTGCTAAGACCTCATTGAAGTCAAGGCTGCTGTTTTCAAGGGAAAGAGAGTAAAATAGGTTTGAGCCCAGCTGTGAAAAGCTGTGTTAACTAAAAATACCAGTGATCTCAGGGTTACTTCTGCAGATGAGTTAAAACCCGTGGCCCTTACATTTTCCTTACAGTTTCTTCAATTGTAACAGAGCAGCTTTGAATTCTTGCAGCAGCAAAAATATGTTTTCCTGCAGAGGGCCAGTTTGTTTCCTTGTACTGTCACAGGCTGGCATTGCTCACCGTGACAGCCACCCAGGCAGACAGAAATAGTGAGTTAGAACGTGACGCCCTGGTGCAGCAAAGCCCAGAGACAGGAGGTACTTTGCACTGGCTATTGCTGGGAGAATGTCTTTGCAGGCAAAGCCTGGGTTATCAGAAGCTTTTTATGGCAAGGACTGAGACCCGGGGCTAACAGGACTGTTGTGACACAGCTTGAGAAGTTGGAGCTTTTCTGGTAATTGGCAATGTGGTGGAAGAAGAAAAACCCATTTGTAGTGACACAGCTCCTAGAAGCCAATTCTTTATTGAAAGAACTTGTAAGCATTCTTGTACAGACTTAGCTGCTCTAATGTAGCTTTGAGTTGATGAAGATGAAAAAACATTTTTAAAGGAAAAAAAAAGCAAAATGGATACCTCTATAAAATTTCATAGTAGATGAAATTCAAATGCTGATTACACCGAAGATAAACATCAAACCACAGAAATTACACACAGCCCCAAGGCAAAGCATGTAACAAATGCACACAATTGTACTTAAATCTGTATGAAAGTTATGACAGGCACGTCAGTTCTGACTGCCCAAGCACTCCATATCCCGGGACAAGAGGGCACCTGATGGGTACCTCTGCATTCAAAACAGCAGTTTGGAACCAAGGAATTCCTGGAGTGTACTGTACATTCGGCTTCTTGGGTGAGTGAGTAACGGCCTGGCAGAGCCCAGCTGAAGGTGTTTAAGAGGAATTATTATTAAACCAGTTTCACTGGTAGCTATTGTTTTGTGCTTCTCCCTTAGCTAAAAATCCCAATGGTTTTGACTACAGCATGTCCACTGGCTGAGACAGAAAACGTGGCTCATGGAACCCTGACCCCATGGACCTCGGCAGAAATCCTGTGGAGAGTCTAAGCTCCTCTCAATTTCCAAATATGTAAAAAGCAGTGATATTGCTGATTTCTCTCCACACCTTCATTTTCAGCTGCTCTAGGATTATTCTCCAGCCCTGAGCATTTCAGCCCAAAGGGACTGACTGTAATGAAGGCCTGTAATGAAGGACTGTAATTCATATTAAATTAATTACTGGATCTCTGCCCCATTTCAGTCTCTTGTGCTATGTTCATCATCCAGAGAGACCAGCTCTCCTAAATCCAGGCTGCAAATTACTCTTTTCTGAGTTCCCTCTATAAGGCATGAAACCCCCAGCTTTCCAAGTGGTGGAGACACTTAAGTTGGAAATCCATCTGCAGTCACAGCACCTCTCCTAGTAAATCCTCCAACAATATGAGCCCCATCATGCCTTCCATATCCTCACAGTAAAAATGAATACTTTGCTGGACAGCATTTTTGCCTTTCTGCACCCACAGCACACACTCCTGCAGTGCCTGTACAGAGAGAGATTCCACTGCTCCAGGGGAGGATGTTCAGGCAAGAAAATATTCTTATCAAATCAAATGGGTTTCAAATTCCATCCCCTAAAAGGTAGAAAAAAGTGAATGTTTGCTCAGCAGGTCACCCATAATGTTTGGTTCAGTCTGTCATAAACAAAAAATACTCTTTTTGTTGAAACCTCGGATGCATGGGAAAGACAGTGATCTAGAGAGCAAACATTCCATTCTGTTTAATTCAAAGTGTGAGATCCTTCACTGTCCTGGAATAATAAATATCTATATAAATATATATAGCTGCTCTCTGACAGGCAGCTGCCATTGTTGCTCTTTGTCTTCAATCTGAAGGAGCTCTGCTGTGCAGGAGGCTCTTACCAGTCCCTTTTGGGGGTGGGGGGGGTACTGTAGAGCTGGTTGATCGAAGAGCTGCCACGGGCTGCAGGAGGAAAGGTAACCAGATGGAAAACCTAAAGTGTTTATTGGGCCTAGCTGGGATGGAGCTCATCTCCCCACAGCATCCTCACAGTGCTGGGCTGTGTATTGGCCCCTGAAAAGGGGCTGGTAACATTCTTATTATCTTTATCTTGACCAGGTTTTGGGGTTTTTTTATTTTCTCCCCCCAGTCCCCACCCTGCTGAGGAGGGGAGTGATGAGAGCAGCTTGGTGGGCAACTGATGTCCATCCAAAGTGCACCTTGCATGGTCCTCTTTGGCACCCAGCATGGGACACAGACAGCTGCAGCTTTGTATCCAGTGTGTTATTGCTACAACAGCAGCAACTTCCTGTGGGAGTCAGGGAGATTGCTGGCTGCACTGCTAATCCTTTACAAGGCTGAAGCTGGGAACATGTTAGTAGAACAAAGGCTCTGGGCTGTGTCCTGGCGTGGATGGCCTTGCTGTGCTGCGGGAGCTGTCTTGTCTCCACAAGAGGATGAGGGAATACATCTCCCTCTCCCCGCTTTGGACTGGTGTGGATGATTGTGCAGGTTCCAGAGGTCCTTGTTCATGTTTACATGAGATGCTAATGCTACTAAATAACACCATTGGCACAAAATGGGGTTGGTGGAATCTGGTGCCATCATGGCATAAGAGAAGATTTTTGGGTGAGGTAATATTGAAATGTGCCCTAGGCAGCCGTTCCCTGTCTGGCAGGGTGTGGGGAAGGATTTGGGCAGGTTCCTAGCACAGGTTTCACCTTTCAGAGCTTGAGACTTTCCACCTGAACTGGCAACAACCCTGGCTATCCGGTGTGTCACCTGATGGAGGGGTACCTTGCCCACCCCAGTGAAAACCAGCAACTTTTGCCCCATACTGGGGCCTGGTCTGTGCCTACTGAGCCTCAGATCAGTGCTCTGAGGGGGCTGGGCTTGAGGCAGGACTCATACAGCAGCAGCAACTGCAGGAGTTGCCCCAGGAGTGAAAAAGGAACTGGACAAAGAAAACAAGGAGTCCAATAGAAGGGACTGTAGGTGAGATGGTGCCTAGGACTCCTTCCCAACCCAAGTGTTTCTGCAGTAGTAGAGAAGCAGCAATAGCAACCACCAACACACCTTAATCTAATCATCCTCTGTTTCACAGAGCTTTGTCTTATCCCTTCCTTGGTAAAATTTAAAAGAAGATATGGATGAATCCTTCCCCTGAGAAGGATCCCCTTCCCCCTGTTAGGAGAAATAAAAGCCCCTCAACAGCAACCATGCTGACCTCAGGTGAGCACTGAACCCCAACCCTGGGGAAAATCTGAGGAGAGAGAGGGAATTAGGATTGTAAACCTGTAGTAGTGTGCTCACTACACGGCCAGCCTGGGCACCAGCATCCAGTACAGCAGAGATTTACACACAGCATTGCAGTTGCAATCCAAATAAGTGCATTGCACACACCACATAATACACCAAGTGATGGGACAGACTGCTCTATCAGGCCACCCTAAACACCAAGTACTAAATGCTGTCAGTACAACACAGTGATCTGCTGGGCCTTCCACCACAGACAAGCCACATGGAGCAACTGCCTAAAGGGTAACCCTGGACTAAATGGAAAGGGATAAAAGTAATGAAGATACGTATTTCACATTGGAAAATCAGAATCAGGCCAGGCGCCTCAGAATTCCTTTTTTTTTGCAAGGTGATTTAGTATCAGGCAACTTCTCTTTCATTTTGTTTTGTTTTTACAATTGTGCTGTTGGAAGCATCCATAGAAGGAAAAACACTGTGGAAAGGCTGAGAAAAGACCAATTCTTCTCTGCCCATATTTCACTGCCATGGGAGGTGACAGCTGATGTGGAATGGAGGAAAGAAGAGGTGAAATGAGGCACACTGGGACAGATCTTTACATGTGCCAACATGTCACCCACAGTCATGTCAGAGCACTGATATCAGCTGGATCAGAGCTCTGCTCCTCCCGTGTCTCATTGGACACAAGAAGGGAAGTGGAAGCACTTCCTTTAAGTATAAAACTCCTTTCTGGTGTCTGAATATCTGACATCTAGAAACAATACCCAAAACTTACAAAAATTACCTTTCATTATTATAATGCTCTCTCCTTTCTCTAGCTTGTTTGGGGCATTTTTTACCTCCTTGTGTACCATGGAGAGACATGAAAGACCACAACTAACCCAGACATCTTCAGCAGAGGGCAGGAAAATCCTCATGTTTGTATGAAGAAATAAGTTGTCTTACACATCAGATCTTGAAGAGTAAACTCTTTGACATTAGCTTATTTTCTTTATTTAAAAAAAAAAAAAAGAAGAAGAAGAAGAAGAAAGAAATTCAAGTTGATGAGAGTCTCTGGATATCAAAACTGTGCATCTTTTTACCTCCTCCGTGCTTCTGTCAGGCACAGACAGCAAAGAGAAGACAGTGCAAGGGGCTGATGCATGGTCCACAGAGACTGCACAGGCTTTGGACCCAATGGAGAAAGGTTCCCATCTGTCCAACAGCACAAGGCTCCAGCCTGGTCTGTCTCCTTGGAGCTAGGGGATCACAGATGACAGCAGTGAGAGCATAAAGCAGCACTGTCTCAGGAACTTGTACAGCTACAGCAAATGCCACTGGCATCAGAACCTAAACATTCCAAAACTTCTCCTTTATTTTTCACCCACTTCTCCTGGAGTACAGGGGAGTTTTGGGTGGCTGCAGCAGAAGAAGACAACGAACCCTCTTTCTGCCTACCTAAGAACATTGTGCGTTTGTTCCCCTGTGTTTTATAGGACAAGGAAGCCAGCATGTGGCTCAGGGACCCATAGCTGCCGGGGAACTGAGGGTCCTGGGGAATACAGGTAGGCATGAAATGACTGTGCACTCCCTCCAGCCTCAGGTGAAAGCCCAGAACCTCATCTGTGTGAACAAAGTGATGTGTGGAGCTGCTGGGGCTACAAACCCAGGGTGCTGCCCCGATGCCACCTGGAATAACACGGGCAGCAAGACACGGGCAGCCGTAAGCAACAACAGGCACTACGCACCAAGGGAGCAGCGGCACCTTCTAACACTGGGAACAGAAGGGATGGACAAGACACTGAGTCAGCCTAGGAACAGATGGAGGTGTTCTCCTGTAGCACGCTGTGTCCAGGTGACGGCAGGAAAGGATCACCGGGGCATTGTCTTCATGCCCACCTCCCGCTGGAAGCGAAACTGCGGCTGAAGGAGAAGGTCATCTCCCCGTTCTTGTACTTGCCCCAAGCTCCAAATGGCACTATGACAACTGTGCTGTTGTCTTCAGAGCCAAACTGCACTGCCTGAGAGAAGAAACAAAGTGTTGGCATCAGTGTCTCCTTTGGAAAGGGAAAGAAGTGTCTGGCTTCACATGGGACAGCATGCCCTGAGGCCTGAGAGTTCCTTGCCCCTTCCCAGCCCTGATGCTCCGTTCTGGTATGCCCTAGAGCTTCCCATGGGATGTGCCACCACCCAGAACCATGGTCAGAAAGGGGCCATTTCTGTCTATGACAACTGACATTTTCAGCACAGGCCTAAGCTGCAGTTACAGTCCCATGCAGTTCAATGGACTGTGAGCTAATCAAGCTAATTGATATGATGCCTGGCAAGGATGTGGTGAGACACAGGATAAGGAAAAGGCTGCAGGACTGGTGAATGTCTCAGCCAGCACCTTTTTTAAAGCCAAGCCAGCCCAGCCAGGAGCCCTTGGTGCCCAGAGAAGCGCTGGCATTACCTGCTCAGTGACCACGTGGGCAGCCTCAGCAGGATCGTGGCACTGGCTGATGAAGTCGCAGATCTCCTGGCTGTTCACTATGAAGTTGATGCCGTCGGTGGTCAGCACCAGGAAGCTGTCATCTGCGTGGTGCAGCTGCAACAGAGGCACACAGGATGCACGACCCTGGGTGAGTGCTGCAAGGCAAGGGAACTGCCCCCATATTTTTACACCCTTGCAAAGCATTTTTTTTTTTCCCCTAGGGGTGCTGCATGCTCTCCTGCAAAATTTTTCCTGAAGCTGAGGATTTCATGGAAGACACGATAGCACTGCAGCCATCTCCCTAAACCCCTAATGGGTGGCACTTCATTGGGACCAAAACAATATAGTTCTTGGGGCCCTGGGAGGTGCATTGGGGAAAAATAACAAACAGAATGCGAGTTGACAGGAGAGCTTCCTGCCAAAGTGGAGGCCAAATACCTTCTGGGTGTTTAATTTGTTTTCTAGATGACTACAGAGCTATGGTAAGATACATGCCGCTGTCCTTTCCTCCTACCCCTCTCAACTATGCAAATCTCTACAAATCCTACTTTTTTGATGGCAGCCCATCTATATCCCACCCAGTTCTCAGTGATGGTTTTGTACCAACATTAACCTCAAAATGATTCATTTGACCACAGGGCCCAAACAGACTAATACCTGTAATGCATATCATGTTATCTTTCTTTCCTTATCATATATATTACTGTCAGAAGTGGGATTTAGAAGTTAATCTGGTGAATTTAGTACCAGATTCTTTTCTGTCCTGTTAGTATTAATCTGAAATAACTTAATTAGAGTTGCTCTCTGGTTACTTCAGTAAAAATAAGGTGGCCATCAGGCTTCACCTGGGCTCGTGTCATGTGGGTACCACCACAGCATCAAATACCTATGTAGCCCCTTAGTCCAAGTGTTGCTATCCCTGTAAACCAAACCTTCTTTTACCTGAACCCTTTTTGTTTCTGGCTGGGCTATCACACCACTGTTTTTAAGATCCAAATCTCCTATGCTCCGTGTCATTGCAAGTCTACCATTCACATGAGGCTGTCCCAAACTGTTCCAGGAAATGAAGCCACCAGACTTCTTAATCCTGTCCAGAGGCACAAAAGAAAAAGCAAATGAGTTACTGCTTCACACCATTACCCCCATCTCTATCCTCTATTTCTGTCACTAGCTAGAATGAGGAATGATGTATGGAGAGCCCGAGCTGGGAAGCTGAGGGCTGGCTTTAGCTGTTTGAAGGGCTCCATGGAGGGGATGTGTCTTAGTGGGCTGAGTCCTGACCTGGGAATCACAGTGCACTTACTCAGGTTCTAACTTTGTGATTTTGGACAGGTCTGAACCATGTGGTTATAGCTCTGTTCTAAATCTCAGTAATGCTGATCTTACTGCTGAGACAGTTTTTCCTCATGGAGCCCTTTCCTCTAAACAGGGCCCAGTGCATTAACTGGAGCTTACTGCCAGTTCAGAGTGGTCTCAGGGCTCTGTATTCAACTCTGCTTTCTTCCTGGCCCAACCCAGCAGCAGAACAGAAGCCCATCCTGAGTGAGGCTGTGCTCTAGGAAGCCACATCATCAGCCAGCAGATACCTTTCCTTCTCCTCCTTTCTCTCTGGAGTATGGTCAATGGTGAGTTTCACGGCCTTTCCCTTCCGGCACAGCAGAGCACGACTGTCTCCCACACTTGCCACAACCAGCTCAATTCCATCTCGGAGCAGAGCCACTGTTGCAGTGGTCCCAGAGTTCAGCAGAGTTGCTACAAACATCATCAAAGAGAGAGGTTTTAGCACCGCCTCAAAGAGTGGACTCATTACAACAGCAACAGTTTCAATTAGTAAAATGAAGACAACTTGTGCTCTACCTAATCAGCAAGAAACTGCTTTTAAGTTTAAACTAAATTTACACGTACAAAAAAAAAATAAAATTAAAAAAGCAAGCATGCATGCATGTAGGACTGGGGGAAGACAGGGGAGGTGGGAAGGATTAAGTGTTTCTGTGCAACAACACGGCTCCATGCAAACAGGGCAAGTGGGATAAAAGTACAAGGTACAATGGTTTCTTTTCATTTTGCAGCAGTTTTTCAGCCCCATGAGCTCACCTCAAGTTACAGGGTTATTGTCTTTATACCTGGCTCAGTCACTGCACAAGTAGGTCACCGTGAAGGTGATGGCTCTTTCCTTTTGCTAGGTGCTGAAGCAGGCAATTACATAGTAAAATATAATTATAGTTACAGTAATTATAATTGCATATAGATCACCAGAGGGAAAACAGTAGATCCATTTGTGGCATCCTTCTATTGCTGTCAGAGCTGTTACACTCCCCCTCTGCTTCCCCCAGAGAAGGATTCAGCAAACAGGCTTCCTGGCTTTTTCCACGAAGGAGCACTGCTCCCTCCACACCCTGTCAACTTGCTGGAGGGCCCAGCAAAGGTGAAGCTGGATTCTGGGATTCAGCCTTGCCTTGTGCCTGCAAACTTGTGCAGGTGGCAGTGGCTCTCTGGGCAGCATGCCCAGGGCACTGCTGGGACCACCTGACAGGGGTTCATTGTGAGTGCTCAGAGGGCAAAACAGAGCCCTGGTGCTGCCCTCCTTCTCCCTGCCTGGATTCACTCATGCAAGCAGATTTAAGGGCTTCTCATTTCAACTGCTACAATGGGCTGGAGGAAAAAAAAAATAAAAACAAAAAAAAACAAACAAAAAGCAAACAACAACAAAAAAACCCTCTTGAAAAAGAGAAATGCAAGTGTCTATTTCAGGAAAAATATCTGTAGTATCATCTGCAGTGAAGAAAATGCCAGAAAAAATGCTCAGCTTTCCTAGTTTGCTTTTTGAAAAGGCAAGTCCCACCTTACTGCCATTATCTTCTCTTCCTGCAAATTCTGCAGAGGAAACCCAGCAGGAGATGCCTGGAAGGCTCCTGCTGACTTGAGCTATTACACTAAAATGTCTGGACAGGACCAGCTACTGCCTGGAACACATTTTTACCTACAGCCAATGCAAATCCCCTTGAAAGGCCCTCTGTAGGTCACCTGCATTCTGGGCTTATCCAGTTATTCCACTTTTTCAAAGCAAGCCAATTCAAGATGAGTTTTGGGCTTGCTTAGGAATGTGACTCCCCAGTTATATTCTTCGTAACATGTCACTGTCTTTCCACCACTGCTTCTGGAGAGATCAGCTACAACTACACGTGCTCCTACCTCTGGCCTTGCAGCCCTGACCCTGGAGTTACGGGACAGATTTGAAACAGGACTTTGTGTTGGAGCCCAAGGAATGCCAGGCAGCCCCAAATCTGACCAGCTGCCAAGAGATAGCAACAGAAATGCAAGAGCTGTGAGGTCTCAGCACCCTGTAAGTCAAATGGGGCTGGGAGTAAACTGAGTAAAATGAAGTCACCAAGCCCTGGAAGATGCATTGAGCCTTGTTGTGCAGCGGAAGCAGCGAGTCCATGAATCAAAAAAACTCAAACACAAACCCTCACAAACAGTGTTAAATAAGCTGGTGTTATTATTTAAAACAGGTATTATTACTGCAACAAGGGCTGGGTTTAGCTGAACACTGAGCCAGCAGGTCAGCAGTGACCAGCAGCCATGGTGGCCACAGTCACACCTCGGTCTGTGCCAGGGCTGCACAGGCTGGGACACTGGAAACTGCATGTGGCAGCTTCTGACTATCCAGGTGGGCACTGACATCCTGGTTCTTGTCTGAAGCAAGGACCAGCCCAGTGCAGAGTCACTTTGAGGCACATTATGAAAACATGATATTAAAAAGTACCAGTGCAATTAGAAATTTTAGTAGAACCAGTAAAATACCTGTTTTAGCCAACAGTTAGAACAAGTGAAATAGAGCAACCTATGTAAAACTACCTTTTTATTTTACAGAAGATACATTTTCTTTGGATATTGAAATTAATGGAGCTATTTTCCCATTTCATTCTGTGGTTTTAGAGCTATGCTGAGAAATATATAAAAACTTAAATCATAATCTTCAGTTCACAGAAGACTGGAAACATTTAAAATTCAGGTGAATCTGCATATTTTCAATAAAAACTCCCAAAGAAAAGAGCTGCTATCACAAACTCAAGGGCTGGTACTAAAGAACAAGATATTGTTCAGAATTGTAATGGACATGGTGACTAGAACTTTATATGTATATTAATTAAATAGAACTCCTAGGAAAAAAAAAAAAAACATGCTGCTCACAATCTCTTTCTTGGATCCATGGTCAGGATGTGAGAACATGCATAAAGCCAGAAGTAGCATTATGTGATTTCTAGCACAGCTCAAAACCACAGGAATGATGATGGGATAACATAATGCTTTTCTACAACTGCTGCTAGTTTAACACAATTGGTTTTAACAATTAAATAATTTATTTTGTTTTCCTGACAATATCACTATAAAACTAAGATCTTTCAATAGGTTCTTAACACTCACTGGACAACTTCTACTGCAAGTCATCTCAACTAATGTGACAAAGAGGATGTGGAAACCTTCCAGTAGTCCAGGCTAGGAACCGCTGGACTCCTTCACCTGGGACAAAATTAAGCAGATCTCTCTTTCCACTGAAGCCCAGCTTAAAGTGTCCAGGGCCTCCAGTTCTAGAGCTGCTGACCAGGTACAGTGTCTGCCACAAATAACACGCACACAGAGGCAAATAGGAAATTCACCCAGGGACTTTGTTTAAACAAAATAAACCTGCAACACTGGAGATGCAAGAATAAGGGCTGCAGAACAGGGGATGGAGTCAGTCACTCTCAGATCTGCCTGCACTGCCCTGTGCAGGTCATGTAGAAAGTACCTGCACCTTTGGCCTTGGTAAATCAACCTTGGTATTTCTGGGGAATTATCACTGTTCTTACCTTCTTGCTAAAGCTGTGTGACAAAACCAGTTTAAATTCAACCCAAATAAAATCTAAATTTTGTTACCCCTATGAAGATAAGTAACCAACCAACAGATCAAATGAAGAATTTTATCAATGGTAGAGGGCCAACTGTCTCATATATGGCAAGAGTGGCCATTCTGAAGAACATCTACTCCCTCAAGGTAATTAGAGCAATATGGAGAGTTCAAACCAGTGCCAAATGAAACGGGGCCATCTTAAAGGCACTGAATAGAAGTATATGAATTGTCCTGTCTAATGGAAAAATAGGCAAAATAAACATACCTTTAATATTGTAATTAGTATCTTCTAAACTGATTAGGTAATAATTAGGGCTCTTGGATAAACAGGCTGCCTTTATAATGCTGATAAATTTATGAAATATTCAAGTACAATTTCTGCAGCTCTCCCTTTTCCTCAGTGTTGCAGGTTAACATACTTAAAGAAATAGAAATATTTTTTTAATGATAACTTTAAAAAACAACAACAAAACAAACATTACTTTAAAAATTTAATTACTTTAAATAACTTCTGCTGTTTGTCAGCATCATTAGATTCAAGAGTAAGAACCCTTTCAAACATGGGTAGACAAGTTAATACCTGGCTATGTTTTAAGATGGCTATTCCAGAAGTGAGTGGCCAATGTGATTAGAGTTGGATGCACTGAATGTGGAGGTTAATGGACAAAGTCCCTCTTGTTTTCTCTGGCTCACAGAGAACAGAAGCAGTAACAATACCTGGTAAGACTCCAGTAGGCCAGAAGAGGGTTTGTCTCACATTTCTGCAGGGAAATGCTCAAGTTTCCTCAAGCACAGAATTTAATTTCCTATTTCCATCCTTGCTGAGCAAAGTTTTCAGCCTTTACATTTCAGTTTTTATGGCTGGTAAAAAATAGCAGAAAATTCTGCCCATCTCTGGCAGTTGTCCTGTGGATAATGACATTTGTTGAATGTGAGCTTTATGTTCTGTACCTAAATTTATAAGTGATTTGAAAGTGACTGGCTATATTTAAATGCATGGAAGGGAATGAAAACACATTTTTGAAGAGGTATCAGACACCAAGCTTCAGGGCTCAGGCATAGGTCTAAGCTGTTAATGATTACACAGGATTTAGGCAGAGAACAGATTATCCCAAACTTGCCTAAAGCAAGTTTCTTATGCTTATGTATGAAACAACAGGTGTAGGTCACTGTCAGAGGGGTTACTGGACCAGGCTCCAGCAGGCCAGTACAGCACTCCAATAGCACTGGTGAACTGCATGCCAGACACAGCAGCAGTACCTGGAACACACACATAAACCATTTTTATTATTGAAAGCTCACAGGAGCTACCATGATATGTATTTTCCATCCCTAATTACAAAAAACTGTATCACTGTTAAGTGACCTACAGAGTCATGTCCACGAAGACATAGCTGGGGTCTCCAACAAGGCACGTCTCTAGTCATGTTAAATTTGTGCCTTATGTAAGGTTTTACCCCTTAAATAGCACTAATAACAATGCCTCAAACATGCCATTTTGGCCATTTGATTTGGATTTGACCAGGGATTCAGTTTTCTTCAAACACCCAGGTACAAGTTTTAAAGTTGGTTGTGTGTTAGTAAAGACCTGGACATTCTGAATGTGCAGTTTTTTTTGCAGACACAGTGGAAGGGAGTGAGCATCTGCTGGAACAAGTGGAAGCTATTATTTTGGACTTCATCAGCTATGGCCAGGTTTCAAAAGGAGGTCAGACTTGGGGATACAGCAAGTTACACTGTCACCCACCATTCTCAAGATACTCTAGCAACTATCCTGACTCTCACATCCAGAATAGCCACACTTAATCAGAAATTTTGCTGGCAAACTGAATCAATTTGGAAGCAGGCTTCTAACAAAGACATATGCCAAACACTGAAATTTTATGTAACTTCTACAACATCAGCAACAACAAAAATATCCCCACAAAGCAGTCAACACAGTATTGAGTTATTTTAACAACAGATATGCAAGGAGTTTAATCTGTTCAGAAATCCAGACTTGACTTTGCACCCTGTTACTCCATTCTTTGCCTTAGAACTTGATTTTCGGCCAAGAAAAATAGACTCCCTTAGGGAGAGCCCCCAGGCTCCTGCAAGCGCTTGCAGGTGCTCAGCCTACCTGAGAAATACCAAGTGCCTGCCAGAGCATGGCCTCCATGGATGTCTGGCAATTCTTTTACCATCTATTTTGCTTTTTTAATGAAGGCAGCTTCATTAAAAATAATAATTGTGCAGTGTCCTGATAATGTTTTCTGGCATCAAGCAGCACCAGTTAGTTAAATGGTATGAAAAAATCCTATAAGCAGTTCTAAAATGCTCTGCTTGCTGCACTGTTTGTCTGCCAAATATTATTGTTATCCAATTCTGTACGTCACACCTACAAAGTTATGATTGGAAAGTTTTCAGAAAAACAGAATAACACACCCAGTAGAGTTCTCAATCCTTCTCCTCAAGGAGCTGTTCTGACACAGAGGTCACTACAATGAGCCAAACCAAGAGCTGTCTTACAAAGAGGCAGGGAAGGGGACAGTTAGATCTGAAAATGAAATGGTCTGATCCAGGGAAGCACACAAACTAGTACTTAAATGCTGTCTCGGACTTGGGTTGGTAAGAAAATGTTTTTGCAAAAAGGCTCTGGAATAAAAAGCACATCTTCTTTGCTGATATCTCTCAAGAACTCAGCTAAAACTCAGCCCATAGGTCAAAACTCTGGTCTTTTTTCCACACGAAATACAACGGGAAAATGACCTTTATAGATGCAATTCTCCTTTTTTTGAGGGCTGCACCTCAGGATTTAAGACTTTTTTCCTCATCCCTGGTGCAGGCTAAAGTAAGAGGCTACCTGATCTGCATTTAAGCCTACTTAGATTCATCTAGCAGTTAAATCAGAAAGCCACTCAATTACTTGATTGTATTCAGCCACTGCTTCAGAAAAGCAGCTTGAGAATACAGTATCACTTCAGTCCTTATAGGGCTTCTTGATTTCCAGTCTTTCTTGGAGACATGACTTTTAGAGTTCCAGGTCTTCTGGAACAACCTCAGTTATTTTGCCAGTGCCTGCACCAGCACTGGGACAGTTTTTTTTGTTTGGTTGTTTGTGGGGTGTCTGTATTGGTTTGCTGGGGGGTTTTTTCTGCTATGTGTTGGTGGTTTTCTTTTTAAGACTGGCTAAACTGACTCTCAAATTGTATCTCATGGCCAAGAAAGCTCCTGTGACAGAACTGGGACAGGCACTTCTATCTCCCTTCTTAAGTTACTCCCTATAAGCTCCACTTGCTGCAACTGGAACTTCAGATGTACTTAGCCTCTAGACACATAGACAAGAACTTCATTAACAGGATTAAATGGGAGTCTAAAAGGGCTGGTGCCAGCTTCACCACAGCCTTACCACAGCCAAACTTGTTTTCTTCTTCACTGCTTTTTTCCCTTTCCCACTCAGCTACTCCTGTGACTCTGTTTGTGCAGAAGCAATATCGATTGCATTAATTTTGGCTTACATTCCTCCTCAGGTGCAGCAGCCAAGTTAGGAAGGGGAACTTTGACACTGTTGCTTTAAATCCACAGTAGTAACAGCTTTAAAACAAACAAATAAACATATAAAAACACCAATTCCCCCAACTCCCTAAAAAAAAAAAAGGGAATCAAAAATACCCCCCCTCCACATTTCCTACCAGTAAAATTATGGTCTTTGTAAATCTAAAAAATTGTCACTCTTTGCTACCTCGACAAACATATTCCCTTTCAGAATCACATTAAGAGAAATTCAATGATAACATTCAGATTCAAAACTCCTCCAGTAAATTTGACTGAGGCTTACAGTAGTTATTTAAGACATAAAACATAATTGTTTTATTCGCAATAAGTGACCAGAGCAAAATCCTGTGTTAAGTAAAATTGTTTTCAAATGTTTTTCTGGACATTTTACTGCAAAACTACTGAGCAAATAAGACAAACTTTATTCTCTGTACCTGTATGAGTAGAATATTTTTTACCTACCATCTGCAGAGAGATTAGCATGCCTTCCATATGCTTTGTCTATTTCCAGAAAAGCTTTGCTCAAAACATTTTCCAAGTTCTCCTCCTCAGCAAGAAATTCCCTGGAAGCAAGCAAGCACACAAAGAAATTAAACTTCTTTCCAAAAAATATACATCCTGATCAATCTGTTTCACAGTCTTATCTCCTCCCTGCACGCACTGAATGATGCTGGACTTGAGTGAAAAGGTAATGTGATTTTACTAACTGTGTGAACTGAAAGCATAATCCTGTAATTTTGGAAATATCTAAGCTCCTTATCCAGCATCCGGGGATGTGATAGATACAGAAGAGTGTAAGCAAACACAGAGACCCTGTGTGAAAACAGTCAGTCCGCACTCTCCCTGCGCTCCAAGACCTTTCCCAGAAAGGGGGCACAGTCGTGCTTTCCTCTCCTGTGTTTGTGCACTTGCCCAGCGGGGCAGGCACCACATAGATTCAGTAATTTGTAGCATGTCAGTTCCATCCGGCGCTCCTGCTGTCCCTAAGGACATGCGGCTACACAGCCTGGGAGGATTGGCTACAATGTACAACCCACTGGCTACCTAAGGAAGGAATCTCGGCTAGAATTTATTTGTCACACATTCATTCCCCCGATGAGCACTTACTTAATATATTTTTCCATGTACTTATCACAGAAGTCTGCAGCTGCCGACCCTCCGTGCCCATCGTACACTGCGAAGTACAGGATATCCTCTGTCAGCTGAGCATAATCGAAGCGGTCCTCGTTTTCCTTTCGCTTCCCGATGTGGCTGGCGCAGCCCACGTTGCTCAGGCTCACTTTTGGGATCGGCTTCCCGTACTTTATGCTGGGTGGGAGGAGGATGGGTTCGTCGATGCGATTGTCCCAGATGCCGAAGGTGTCCCATGTGGTCGGCCGCCCGCTGCCGTCGGGGTCGAAGCGGGAGGCGCGGCGCTCGCAGGTGGAGATGGAGCAGGCGGCTGCGGGGCGCTTCTCGTCCTGCAGCAAGCGGGACGTGAGCGCGGCTCTCCTTCTCACTTGGAACCCTCCATTCCGTACCAAGCTAATCAGAGTAGCTGTGGACATAACTTGTCTTCGCAGAGATTCGTAGGGAAAAAAGAGCAGGAGCAAAAGATGCGCAGCTGCTGGAATGTTTTGGAGAGCAAAGGGAAAACGGTTCAGGAAACAAGAAGCACAGGAAAGGGAATTTTCAGTTGCATCATTCAGGAAACAATGTCACCCTGAGAGCCCGCTGATCATGCGGAGCACCGCACTCACTGGAAGCGACTGCAGCGGGATCTACGTGACTCATCGAGAAACTATCCCACAGTCGGCAGCAGCCCACATCCAACCCGGCTCTGCACACTGAGCCAGGGAGGCACTTCTGCTGGCCCCCTGCAGAATGACATACCGAATTTTCAAAGGTTGAAGGGTGGAACAAATGGGAGTGATGATAATGCTAACATATGAAAATATCCGATAAAATTGCGAAAACGAGTTTATCTTGCATGCTCTGAAGACACCAGCTGAGATATCTGCACTGTGACTCTCAGGGGGAAAGGAGAAATATATTTACTTAGATTTTAATTTTTTTATCTGCACGTGATACTTGGTTCTGTCACATTTATGGAGGTCCTGAACAATACTTTTTAACACAGAGCTGTGAAGTTAATTGTGATTTTTTTTATATATATATATATTTTTTTTAATGCTAAGAATGACTACTCAGAGTGTATTCATGGACATCCCCAACTGTACACACAAACTGGACCCTCAAAAAACCCCATGCACCTATTTCCTGTTTTGTCTGGCTTGAAGTTCTCTGCCACCTAACCCTGAAATGGGATAACACAGACAGGCAAGATCTTCTACTGGATTCTCAGATCTCTTTTTCAGTCCAGATAAATTCAAACACACCACTTGGCTCAGCACAGACAAAAATTTGCTAATGATCATTCCCCTAGCAGGCTGAAAAGCGTAGAAAGATTGGATTATTTGACCTTTTGTAGAGTAACACCCAACTTGACCCTAGTCCAACAGGCTGAGATACAGTTTGCAATAATTACATGTTGTTCCACCACAGTAATTTGAACTGGACCACACAGATCACTGTAACTAACCACACTAAAGATATAAGCCCAGTGAGGGATTTCTAACTTAATTGCTCCAAGTTTGCTAAGGGCAAAATTATGAGTGAGAAGAATTATATGGCGTAACAAAAGATCTAAAAATACCCAGGCTTATGGTGAATGAAAAGAAAAAAAAAAAGAAAAAAGAAAAAAGAAAAAAGAAAAAAAAAATGACAGCAGGGTGATCTGACACAATTGAACAGCAAAGAGCAACACTTGTACCCCAGAGACACTTTAATTCTGGACTGGAGTGCCTTGCTGTTGTCCTTTGCCCAAGCCAATCACGACTGCATCTCTGTATCTGAAATATTTGTTAAAACTATGTTTTAAAATTGCTAGATAAAAATCTGTGTACTCACAAAAAACATGCAATCAAACATAACTTAGCAAGGGGTTGCCTTAGTAGAAAATGGCAGTGACAGATCTCTTGGGAGGCCTTCAGCAAACGTTGCTCCCAGCTCAAAGCTTGTTGCTTCAGATGCTGTGGGTTTAACTTTCATGCAATTCTTAGGTTGCATGAAAAGAGGAAAGGTTTCTTTACTTAGCACTTAGAGGTTGACTGTTGACTTGATAGAAGGCTGAATGTTCTGGAAATCACTGTTGTTGCACCAGCTGAATATGGAACTACTTGAAATCTTAAGATTTTTCCATTTACTGCAAGGTGATGGCAATATCACATCCTTATTTTTTAGCATACTTACAGGTATTTTACACCTGGTTTACTTCCTGGGGCTGCTTTTTCCTTCCTCCTATCCTTGACTCGTAACAACAGCACATTAACTTCCTTCTGTGAAACACAGCACGACCAAACCAAAAGCCTGCCAATTAGCAAAACCCACGCTTGCTTTCACTTCTGTCAGCTTGAGAAGAGAACATGAAATGCTTGCTATATTTAGACTACCCTGTATCCACAGCATGAATCAGAGGATCAATCCAAACTCACAAGCTAATTAATGCATTTGTTCCCTATCAAATTCAGCTCTCACCAGGCAAGTAAAAATAGTGATGACAGTTTTTCTTTCCAAGGGTCTCTGCAAGTCAGGAGTAGGAACCTGCTCTTTGGTTTGTTATGTAAACAGCTCTGGACACACAACAGTCTGTGCTTTCCCAGCTGATATGTCTGCAAACACTGAGCAGACCCATCCGGGCAAAACAAGGCTGAGGTAATGAAAAGGGGGGCAACTGGTGTTAGAGACAAAGTCCAAGATGGACAGTTCTGGATGGAAATCTGCTTTCAGGTGCTCCGTCTGATCCTGTTCATCTGTGCACATTTTCCTGGAGAGAGACAGCTGCCACAGACAGGCACGGAAACACAGCACTTAAGGTGGGATGAGGTGATTAAAACTGTAGTTCTACAGGCTGGCTGCTGCTCGGCAGATGGAAATTTTCCAGGCTGCCAGAAGAAAAGGGGAAGAAAAGGAAACCCGGAAGAAAGGGAAGGCATGTCTGCTGCCCCAGGGGATCCGACGTATGCAAAAAGGAATGCACAACTCCAAGTGCACTTGCCTCGCGTTCCTTCCCAACCCCACGGATGTGGGCAGGACCCTACGGTTCTGAGTGTTAAGCTCGTTTTAAAGCAGGTGCGCTGTTGTTTTGTCGGGTTTTTCTTTTTTTAAAAAATCCATGACAATCCAGTCTCGCCCCCCTGCCTGGACAGCAAACCGCACATGGACAGCAGCAATTTAAAGATGTCACTCCCGCAGTTTGCTCATCACGAATTACCACAGGCCGCGTTTATTCCGCGTATATCAAAGCCGCGGCGTCCGGCGGCAGCCCCTGCGGAACGCCGGCCGTGCCCAGCCCCGCTCCGTGATGTGCCAGACCCGCTCCCCGACATTTCCAGCCCTTCCCGCCCAGCAGCCGCGGCTGAAGGAGAAGGGAGAGCGGAGCGAGCGGGAGGGGCAAAAGAAGGAAACGCTTGTCAGCGCGGCCGCCGCCCCCCGCCCTCCCTCTCCCCCGGCCCGTGCCCCGGGCAGGCGGCCCTTACCTCCTCCC